TCCCTGAAAAAACTCGGCCCATGTCATTTTTCCACATCAAGGAAAGAACTTGTGTGTTGGGTGTTCTCGATATCCGTCACCCAGCATCGGCTAACAATGGGGGTCCCTGACCCCGAAAAACCTCGGCGACCCCCACGCCTTGAACTCCCGGAACGAGGGAGTTCGGGCCCCAACCTAGCCCGCAGCAATCTCGACTCTGAATGTCCTGAGCCTTTCCTCAATGATCTCCATCATACCCTACTTGACCCTACCAAAGATAACTGGGTAGGGTCAAGGATGCCCCTCGTAACCTTAGTTGCGATGAGCTCACGCAACCTCTCGTCAATGGGCTCAGTAGTGTCGTCTGACCTAGACCCATATCCTGACCCCGATCCTGATCCTCCTCCCCCAAATCGTGTAACCACCATATTGTACTGCAATATCACAAAATATAATGATCAAGATGTTAGTAGAGGGGATCCTCCCACACCGGTCCTCCTTAGAGTTTCCAGGTCTAACATTAGTTCGGTTGGAAGTCCTGTGATTTTATTAGTATGGGCCCAATACTACCTTCCACACCCATTTGTACCTTTCCTAAGGCTATACCTGATAACTCTAATTCGTCCCTAAACAAACCATATCTCATAGGCTACTGTATAGCTCAAATCCTAGATTTTCCTAAGATTTGCTCTACCCATATCAATCATAATAGGTTTCCTTATGCATGCAAATTATACACAAAAAAGGATCAAATAGACTTTCGAATAATAAACTCCACCCTAAGACCACAACCAAATAAGGAACATGAAATAAGGCCAAATCAATTATTATGAGGCTATAAGACCCTAATCCTAAACAATTTAGAAAGCATACACGTAGCAATATTCATACAATTATCATAACTCACATATCAGTATACATGGATAACATATTGGGGAAACACTTACTTGGCTCGATTGATCACGCGCGTTGCACTCTCCTCTTTTCCATACTTTAAAAGTTCTAACTTTTATTTATTATTTTGAAAACAATTTTACCGTTTCCCAGTTTGAGTCCTGACACACCCGAGGGTGTGCCCGAACCCCTCAAACCAAGGCTCTGATACCAACTTGTAATGACCCGATTTTCAAAGGAAAATTTTCATTTTTGATTAACCAAAATACTGTCCATAAAACTTGAAATCCCAAATACAATTGTTTCCAAACTTCATATTAAGTACAATTTTGTTTCAAACCATTAGAGTGTCCCATAAGAAAACGCCTGAGAGAGTGCACGTTGTACCATCAAACCTTGCCTTTGCCCTTAGGCTCAGATGTACCTGAAACAAATCCACAAACTATAAGCTAATGCTTAGTGAGTTCCCTAGAGCATATCGCACGCATAATCCACATAAACACATATCGTATCAGCTATAAAATCTACATATACCACATAAGCCATGCATACCAACATACAAGGAAGCCCTGAAAACCCTCTAGGGTCTTACTCCGAGTGTCATGGGAACCCGCACATGGTCTTAGCCCAATGCCTCGGGACCCCCCTGAGGTCTTGACCTAAGATGCCATGGAAACCCTTCAAGGCCTTACACCTAAGTGCCTCGGGAACCCCCTGAGGTATTTACCCAGGATGTCGTGGAAACCCTCCACGGTCTTATACCTAAGTACCTCGGGAACCCCCCAAGGTCTTCCATACAAGTTTCATAGATACAACTAGTATATCGCATATCGCATAACCCAATAGCACATACGTAACAAATAATAGGCGGGCCTTGGTGCATTCGACCCATTGGTATGATGAGGAGACTCACCTCTCACGAATGTTGTGCTGACAAGATAAGATCCAATAAGTCCCAACGCACAACTCCAACTAAACTGCCTATAAGCATCGTAAGATTAACTTATCATAATCCCATACTTACCCTCAAAGTCAACTTTGGTCAACCTTGGTCAAAGTCAAGGTCAACAGTCCATTTTGACCCCAACTCGTCGAGTTCCCACGGAGTCCAGAAAACCTGAACAAACCCTAGCCAACTCGCCGAGTTGTTGCATCAAATCAACGAGTTCACTTGATATCCAGTAGACGGGCAAACCCACTCCGACTCGTGGAGTTGTTAAGGCAACTCGTCGAGTCCCCCTCCCTGTTTGCTTATTATGATGATTCACCGAATGCAGGGACTCCAGGGCTTAGATATGAAACCCTAAGGTGTCCAGAGGGATAAAGTTTCCAACTTTACCCTCTAGAACCACTCTGAATGCTTTAAGGCCCTCATCAAATGTTGGAAATCTCAAAAGTCTTCCTATACGTTCCAAAACTTTAGGGATCTGGAACCCCACTTTCTAGAGGAGTTTCTAGTCCTCAAAATATTCCAAAGATGGAGGCTTTAAGGACATGCATGTCCAATGCATGTCATTAAGTCAAAATGGCCAAAAAGGAGAATATGTTCTACAAACCCTTGCATGGCATCCTTGCTTGACCAAAAGCTAGATCTAGCCCACATTGGGACTATTTTGCCCTGGAGATCCATAAAGTTGCAAACTTTATGAACCCCATGCATGCAATCAACAGGAATGATAGGAAATGAAGAGTAAATTCAAGATCTAGCCATATTCTAAGATAAAAATCAAATGTTGAAGACTTACCACAGTCCACAAGATTGTCAAGCTTAAGAGTGAGGGATTGGTTTGTTGGATCTTCTTCTTCTTCTCACTATCTCTTTCTTTTTAAGCTTCCCAAGTCACTCTAACTCACAAAATGAAAGAGAATGAGGATTAGGGTTTAGCATAGACGTTCTTAGGGTTTAGAGGCTGATGGAAGGTCAGCCTCAAGTGTCTTAAGGAAATTATATAGGGTGCAAACCCTAAAATTAGGGCTTTTCCTATACAGTACCTACTTGTCGAGTTGGACTTCCAACTCGTCGAGTAGGGCCTAGATCCCGCGTCCTCAAAATGTTCCCTACTCGACGAGTCGGGGCTCCCAACTCGTCGAGTCCCAGCATCAAAACCCTAAAACTTAGAAAATTAAATAATACTTGGGACATGTGTTACACCACAAAGTTTTATTTGAACGCATTCGTTGGTATTCTGTGTACAAATACTAACTTTAATGGTATTTTTTGTACTAAAATAACAACAATTATATTTTTTGAAGATTTGGAAATCAGATAACCTACAATACCCGATTAAATGGTATTTTGTGTACTAAAAAAAGACAATGGTCATTTTCGTATATTTTTAAAACTTTGTTACGTTTTTAAGTCATTTTCCCACATTCTAAAATAACAGATAAATGCGTTGAAAATTTACCAAACAATGTGTTGTTAAGAAAAAGTAATGGATAGGCCATCTGCGAAAATACATATATTATTTAAAAAAACAATTTTTTTGATTTTTTTGGTAAATTCTTCAAGACATAACAATAAAACTTTGTACTTACAACATGCAAAAATACAAATATAAAAAATCAGAAATATTAATAGATATAATTTACTAAAAAATCACTTTTTTTTTTTAACTTTTTTGTGGTAAAATATTCAAAACATATTTTCCACAACAAAAACGAGCTTTGAATGGCGTACAAGTGGGTTTTTTTTTTCACCAAAAAATAATCTGAAATTAAAGAAATATGGGAATAATGTGCATTATATATGAGGACCATTTCGCGGCATATTTTGCATCACAATAAGTTTTTTTAGAATTTTTTTTTCTCTACCCATTGATGAGTTCTCAGTTTATTTATTGTTTTCACAGTTCCTATCTGCGAAATCATCAAATCAATAGTTTATATAAACATTTCGCTAGGTTTTAACTAGGCTAACTGAGATTAGCATATTTTGTTTTTTTCTTTTTAAATCTTAATTGATGTAAAATAAGAAGGATTAACTCTTTGCAACAAAGATCACCTCCGGCAAATAAGTCTTTAACATTTACAACATAACTTCATTCACCGAATTTTCCTGAGATCAACTTTGTATGTTATATTATCTTATTCACACAAAATAGGATGCAAGCATTTATTTAATAGTGCATTTTATAAAAATAAAAGAGATCAAAGAAAATCTATCATCTTCAGTCTTGGTTCAAATCCTATTGCTTAAAAAAACCTAATATTTTTTTTTTTTTGACACGCTAAAGTAGACTGTTGATGAACTTTTTTAATCATTCTCATACTGGAATATTCAGAATTTTATTGTTATTATGCATGGAATATACCAATATGTATAAATAAATATATAGATTATAAAGATATTTTGATGATAGGTTTACTGACATCGAAGATTTTTTTATATCAGGGCATACTTCATAATTTGGAGAAAAGAATATCAAATAACATGATCGCTCATCAAAAGACGCAATAAGATATTTGCAAGATTGTGACTTTTAAAACATTAAAATAATATAGACACTTGAAACATATTTTTTTTGTTTTTTATTTGTTCACTCTTTCTACACGTAATTTAAAAACCTTTGAAAATTTTGAAAATTAATAATAAAAAATGACAAGTCCTTTAGGGTTTCAGACCCATGCTTCGGATCTCTGAAAGCATAAGACACGAAAAAAGAGGCCATGTCTCGGTCAACAAAGTTGGTAAAAGCCAGCCACCCTGTTTCCTCTAATTTACACTTTTACCCCTAACTGTTTTCCATTAATTTACACTTTTACCCTCTCCCCCTTCTGATATTGACCTCCGTAGACCAATTGAAATGACACAATACCCCCTGCCCCCAGAAACATGAATAACAGACAACGTGCTGTCACGTCCAATATCACCACCCTACCCTACGCCTTCTGTTTTTATTCCTTTAACATTTCCAAAATTTTCTTATAAAAATAATATTCAAAAAAACACCTATGGGTCCAGGGGCTAAACAGTAATTTCACCACAAATGGTTGTTTTCCAACCTCTTGCTTTCACTTCTTTTCATGCAAAAACAAAAGCAAAAGTCATTCAACCATACACACTTCTGCTACAGTTTCTGCTTTCATAAAAATTGTAATATTACCAAAATACCCACCATCGTTTTCACTCTATAACACCCCTGTACATTTCTCTTATTACCAAACACCCCCTCCCTCCTATAACCTTTTTTTTTTTTTTTTTTAATTTCTTCACATATATTCCTTGCTACCCACAAAAATTTTCAAGGAAATAATTCAAGAAAAATAACACATAACGAAATCGAATACGAATCCGAATCCGAATCCCAATCTCCCCTCACCCGACATGTACAAACACCCGAACTGCCCGATCTTTGATTCAAAACATTGATTGAATCCTTTTTCATCGGTCTTCAACAAAGATTCTTCCGATAAAATCACGAAATCTCTTGGAATAAAGCTTTGGATCCACAGCCGAGATGGACGTGGGGTCCGCTTGCAAGGATTTGTATGCATGTTCAAGCTTCTTGCTTATATCATAATCTTGTAAAATGTCGATGATCCCAAAGTAGAGGACTACTTCGTAAGTTTCACCGGTTCTTGAGGGGGTGAAATTGTTAAATCCACCAGGGGTATATTGGTCAAAATCGCTTCTCCTGCCCATTCTCTCGGCTCTCGCTGGCATGTTGGCTCCCAGTCTAATCAACGGTTTCCTAATAATTTCATTAAAAAAAAAAAAAAAAAACATTTAGGTATGTTTATTAATATATGTGAAAACAATAGAGTACCAAAACAACATGAACTACTTGCTTGCTGTCGAACATATGTTATTTTTTAATTTAATGATTGATCAAGTCAAGCGTTGACCACATGCCATATGGATCAACGAGAGAATTTGCGAGATTATTTTTTCACAAATTTAGTAAGAAAATGTCATGATCAAGGAAATATAAGTTGTCTGGAAACGGAATTAGTAGGTAATACACGGATGTCCCCACAAACAAAAATGTTGTGTCTATTGACCAACATCTAATATATATGTAACCAACCAAGAACCGATTTAAATTAATGAGAGATGCCAACCACCATTCATGAATCATGAATACATATTGAATAGTTGTCAACATAAAGACCATTAAAATGGTCATCAAGAAGTGCTCAACTACCTTGCCATTATACCACACTTATAATGCAATTCAAGACACCTCAATGTGGTCACATTATAAAAATTAATCATGGCATTGACTTAATCAAATTAATTCCAAAAAAAAAAAAAAAAAAAAAACATGAAGAAACATACCGGCCAGCAAGAACACGATCCATGTCTTGCAACTCTGCTTCAAGAAACCGACACCCACGCATGAACTTTTCATTTTGGTATGAATCGCTCTTTCCTAAAATCGAATTCAAAATTACCATTTTGCCACTACAAAAAATAAAGTTTAATTTCTCACTAAGAAAATTACCGTTGCGTAATAAAAATGGTGACAAACCCATTTTGTCGCCTGTGTTATCATCACGAAAATGCATGCCAACTAGAAGACTATAATCCATTATTCTCTCAGCTTCTAAAAATTCACAATCTCGATTGATTTGCCTGAACAATAAATAAATAAAAGCAAATTTATTTATTTGGTCCCAAGTAACAAAACGCAGTAATTGATGAAAAATGTACTGACTTGATTAATTCTTTGAACCAGTTTTCTTGCAGGCGAAAGACATAATTGAGGTCAAGATCTTTAAGAGTGGTAGTTTCATCAATTTCGTCTTCAGGTTTATCAGTTGTACGTCCATGTGATGATCCTTTAAGGTCAAACCTTCTATGAATTCGATACTCAGAGCAAAATAAATTACCCATCACAATAAATCGAGTCTGAACATGGAAACGCGCAAACGTTATAACAAAAGGTACAAAATTAAATTCAAACATCAAAATCAGCAAATATTATTATTTACCTTTATGCCACCCACTGGTTTCACACAATGCACCCCGAAGAATTTTGTCACGAGAGAATTTTCGTATCGGCAAACATGTTGGTAATAACTTGGAAGCATTTTGATTAAAACCTGAAAATGAAAAAAAAATGTGAAGTTTTAGTTTTAAATGGTTGTTTTGTTACTTGAAAAAAAATCGAGATTGTTTGTTATCTGACCTTGACTTCGGATTTTTTAACTGTTTTAATCATGAAACGATCATCTTGTGTCAAGTAAAAGAAGCTTCCGCTTTTCCCGGGTGATGAAAGCTCTCTAAGAGCATCGTTTCCACAAATGGCTAGCATATAATCTGCTGGATCTACTTGGAACAACTCCCTCAAATGTCTGGGATTAATAAAGAAACAAGATTTTATGTTATCGAATGATTATGGGAATTGATTTAGGTTTTGAAGTTGAAAATGTGTAGAAGAATACCTAAACACTACTGGGCAATAATCTTTCCAGCGAAATTCAGCAGATTGATGTGGTGGAGTTAGTTTTGATCCTTCTGGTGGGAATCGTGTCCAAAACTTTTCTTTTGGGTCAAAATCGGTGGTTTTAAGGTCTCTTATGGTGGAAGCATGCTTCCCGACTGAATACCTGATAAACCCATCAAAGATTATGATGAAGAAGATGAAATATGAAACAGATTGAAGAATGTTTTGATGGAAATCTGGAATGATCATCGGATAATGTTTTTTTACCTGATACCCAATTGGAGATTGAGCATCAATTCGTAATTCTTATGCCCTTTTGATATCATCTGACCAGGCTTCTTTGCTTCGCCACCATTAAAACAGCATGGATTTCTTCTGAACTGACGTATTTCATCTCGACCTAATCCCATGGCGTCCCTGTACAACATTGAAGCTTCGGCATTATCGATTATGTCACAAGTGATATCACCTGCTTCACCGTCGGATTCCCAAATGCAAATCCTGGGGAAGTTTCGTTCAGTTAAGCTTCCTCTTGATCCGTCGACAGAAGATCTTTTTCTAGCGGTTGAAACCACAAAACTATCATCCAACAATGGCGCAGAGAGCTTGCGGGTAAACCCTAATTTATCATCTTTTCCGGCGCCGTTGTTGCCTGGGTAGAATGTTCCGTTTAGAATCTGGTGGGGTTGAAAAGGGTTTTTGTAATTGAAGTTGCTTTCTTTACTCCAGCAGCCGACGTAGCAGCCGCCGTCCGGCCAAGTGAAAACACCATGACCTTTAGGAACACCGTTTTCCCAGTTGCCGTCGTAACGATTTCCGTTTGCCCAAATCAAGATCCCTCTTCCGTTTATAACTCCATTTCTCCAATCTCCGACGTACTCGTTTCCATTCTTCCAAACGTAACGCCCTTGTCCATCTTGTAAATTCCGCCGCCATGTCCCTTCGTAATAATCACCGTTGCTGTAACGTTTTTGGCCGTATCCGTGTTTCCGGTCAGACGACCAGGCGCCACGGTAAGTATCTCCGTCGGATCCCGTGAACGTACCGGAACCTTCCATCCGTCCGGACTTGAACTCACCCTCGTAAGTCGCACCAGATGGCCAAGAAAACTTACCTTTCCCAGATGCCTTACCTCTCTTCCAATCACCTTCGTACATACACCCATCAGACCACAAATACTTACCAGATCCGTGAGGCACGTTACCGGAAAAGCTTCCGATGTACAGATCCCCGTTCTGGAGATGTTTCTCTGTAGTCGCCGAACCAGATGTTGTAGCCACGGTTTCAGGGATGGAAACAGCAACGGCAACGGTGGATGTCGGAGCCACACGACGGGTAGCGGCCTGAGATCTACTTCTACCTACAGAAACTAATGGTTTGGGCTCCGTTTCTTCTTCGGATTTCTTCTTCTTTGTTGCAAAAGTATTGTCATTATCTTCATTGGACGACGGAGACGATGATACCAATGGTTCCGGCATGATTTTGAAATGGGTATCTCTTGAATTCCTTTACTTTAAAGAAAATTTCAAGAAATGAGCCCTGCTAGCAGCATTCCGCTGTGAATCTCTCAATTGTTCGGTCGGATTTGCCTCTAATCGAACAAACGGAATACTGGGGTAGGGAGGAACAGTGGTGAGAGAGAGTAAAGAGACGAAAACTCTGAAACTGAAAAGTAAAGAAGAGTAGGGTGTAGGAGAGAGAGAGAGAGAGAGAGAGAGAGAAAGCAAAGGGAATAGTCGTGATCCGGCGTTGCATATTACATCTTGCATTGGAAAACGTTGAGGTTGTGCTTTGCCTCGTCGTTTATGCTATTACCACCACTAGTATTTTTGGTATTAATCACACAAACTATATATCTGAGTAATTACCCTTACTTGGAAATCACCTTTCACCCCTTTGAGCTTTGCTATATTGTTTGAGCTTATTAGGGTAAATTGGTAATTTACAAACTCCTTCCTACTCCAATAATAATATGGGATCCCTAAAACAAATGACCACTTGAACGATATGTCGATATGTGTAGCTTTCGTCATTCCATTAGATTGTTTATTTATTTCGTTTACTAGACTTTACATGGAGCACATAGTTGTCATTTGGCTTTAGCTAAGGCCAAGATGGTAATTTTGTTTAAATAATGAATTAATCTTTGCACATGTAAGTTTCTTTTTCGTCTCTTTACCGTCTTTGTCATCGGTCGATATCTTAAATAAAGCATGAAAACCGCAACGATTTTAAGCCATTGTGGAAGAAGCGTGATGGTTAGAAAATCAATGACAAATACAAATCAAATTGTATTGATGCTTTACATTTTTCATATTGCTACTACTCTACATTTTTCATTTTGATTTGTTGCAAAATGTTCTAGTTGTGTTGATGTATCACGTTGCTACTAGTTAGTCTAATCTTCTTTGTTGCAAAATGTTTGAGTGCGTCTATTTCGAGCAAGTATGGTTTGGGAATGTGATCATTTGATCACCTTTGCTGGTTTGGTCCAATCCACATAAAAGGATTACTTGTTTTCATTTTAGTATACATTTCATAACAAAATAAAATATATCAATTGTGTGTTTATGTTTACTTTTCAAGACAACTAGACGTTTATTTCAACCTAGAAAAAGATTACGGATTTCGTCCCGGGTTAGATAAAAGTTTTTTTTATTTTTTCTATGTTTTGTGTAATGGTTGCGGTTGTACTTTTAATTTTTTTTAGAGTTGAGGCATGTATATGACACGAATCGATTTAGAAGATGGTGGATTTGATCACACGTTTAGGTTTGTTGATGGAAGTGTGGGTGTCTTCAGCTATGGCGATCAGCGTGGATGTCTTCATAGCATTTCAAATCGTCGTTAATGTCATTGTAATCTTCCTTAGAGTTTGATGCTTCTATAGAATACTCTATGCTTATTTCAATTTGACATTCAACATGGCTTGCTTGGTTTTCCTACAATCAATAACTTAAATACATGTGTAAGTTGATGGGTAGTCTATGAAAGCAATGACAAACTATAAGAAATAACGATGTAGTTTACTCTTGCTGACAAAATCGACAATGTATTTGTATTTCCTTACCCATAAAGCATTGTACTTGTATTTTCTTCTTACACATAATTTAAGTATGTCGCTATTATGGATAAGAAATTGGAAGTACATTGTTATTATGGATAGAAAAAAAAGTATATTGGCTAATTGGTAAAAAGAGAAAGCACATTGCTATTTCATATTCCCGTATTCCTCAAAAGTCAATGTAACAAAATCACTAAGCTTGTAGCATACACAAACTAAAACATTACATCAATTATTATTGTTTTACGAATTAGACGAACCAATGCTAAAAAATAACAAAAAAGGGTTTCTTTTAAGTTAAGAATGGTAAAAATTTACCAAATTTTCCATTTATTGTCTTGTTTTTGTCTTTAATATACCATAAAACACAGATGACAGTAAAAAAATGTTGATGAAACAATGTATATTCCATAGCAAACACGACTTGCTAACAAACTAAGCAAAGGAAAACAAAATAACCAATTCCAAAGCTAAACCAACTAAATGTACAGTTAAAAAGCATATATGATGTGTGGTGGTATTTTGGGGAAACTCATTAAGCTTTGGCTTACGGTTTGATTTTATGGTTTCATGTACTTCAGAGGACAGGGGCAAGACGAAGGCTTGATCGTGTACATCATTTTGGACTTTTATATGATTTATGATTTTGGGATACCCTGAAAATGGTTGTGACTTTTGAAAACTTGTTTTTGTAAAACTTATGGATTTGAAATGGTTTTGAAAAGTAAAAAAGATTTGCCTTGATTTTTGGGATGTTACAAGTTGGTATCATAGCCCTGGTTTGAGAGAATTGGATGAATATTCGTGTGAATCCATACTCAAAATAAGAATGTTCAAAAGTTTTAAAATTATTTTCAACTTATTTTCAAATAACCAAGAAAGATGCAATGTGTACGATCAACCGAAGCAAGAAAGTGCCCCCCGATATACCCATACAGTTATTTGTTTATGTTGATTATGATAGAATTGCATGCTAGTTTTAGGCTATGTGTCTTCAAGAATTGCATGATAGAATTGTCTGAGTTATGATGCCTGATATCTTAGGGTAATTACATGTATGCTAGATGAAATTAACATCATTATTGTAGTTGCTTAGCATATGCATCATAGTTGTACATAACTAAGATTTTATAGCCTGGGAATGTTTGATTTAGCCTCATTTATTGTTCATTATTTGGTTGTGGGCTTAGGGTAGAATAAAATATTTGATTGTCTATGGGATCCAACGTTATGTATGACTAGCATGCACGAGAGTTGTTGCAGGGTAGGTGGAAGTTTCATGAGTGAGTGCAGATTGCAGCAGGCCAACATGTGGAAGGATTAACCAACCTTGAGTGTATTTATAGGATGTATGTGTATCATAGATGTTGGGTATTGCGATTGGGTGGTTCGTGACGACCCCTTGTGACAAATACGGGCAGGTATGGAATGTAGTATAGGCCCTAATACTGGAAGCATATAACTTGTACGCGTAGCAAGGAAGTCACGAACCTCGAGGGTTTAGTCTTTGTAATGATCGAAATAGTATGATGTAACATCCGAATCCAGGTATGTTCTTGTTTGGTCCTTTAAGTTTGAAATTTTTGCGAAAATGGTCCCCTCGTACGCTTGGCATACGTTTGGTACACATAGCGTATATGCACGCATGGAAGCAGGGACCTTAACTACATATGATGGGCATACGTAGTGTATGCAGGGTGTACGACGGCCAATACCAAACCCTAATTTTTAGGGCATGAGCCCTATTTAAACAACATTATGGCCTTTGGACACTCACCCTCATCAGCCTCCACTGTTCATTATGTTCCATTTAACCCTGGTTCATCCTTTTGAGTGTTCTTGAGCTTTGAGGTGACTTTTATGGCATTTTGGTGTGTTAACAAGAATATGGAACTTGGAGACCAAGCATTTGTTGAGGTTGAGCTTCTAGATCCAGAGTCTTCATCAACTTTGGGAGCTTTTTAAAGGTAAAAAGTTAGTACCTTGATGATCCATTTGATAGTTAGAGTTTAGGGATTAAATAAGAGCTTTATTTGGTCCCCATGGTTCTCGTGGTGAATTTGGGCAACTCCAGGAGTTAGAGTTGTTAGATCTATGTCCCTTTATTGTTATAGATGTATAAAAATGTCATCCTGATGGTTGATATGAGTCCATGCATGAGTTTGAGTCCTTAAAATGAGCCTTAATGGATAAAAATGGATGTTGGGTTCCATTAAGACATGCAAAACGATAAAGTTTCCAACTTTATACATTAGAACCCTAAAATGGAAGAGATTTGAAAGTTGGACCTTATAGCTGAACGGATTAAGCGCTTTTTGACTTAAGGTGGCAAGCAACTCAATATGTTGGGCGTACCAAGGGGTATGTTGTGTGTACTGATGAGTGGTCGAGTACTCCAAGCATACAACACGTACGCCTTGGAGAGGCTTTCCTTGGGCTTTGGAATTTTGGGCCTTAGTTAGGTTTTGGGCCTTGAACTATTTGATGCATGAATGGACCTTAGGATTTCGTTAGTGGACCTTAAGTTGCTTGATTTTGGCCTTTTCGGGCCATGGAGTCCATTATTGTGTTATTGGGACAAGTTTGGTATGGCCCATTATGGGAAAGGTAAAATGGGCTTTTACCTTAGGGGTATAGATTTGGGATTTAGGCCCACAATTATGGTTTATACCTATTTCTGATTAGGATGATTTGTTTGTGTTCAGTGTGGGATCTTTTGGTTCGATAGTTGAGCATTTAGTTACGTATTAATGGACTAAGGTGAGTTTTCTCACTATATCAATGGGTCGAAGGCACCAAGGTCGGCCCATTTATTTGTGATATAGGATGCTAGCTATATTTGTGATATGTGTGTGAAAGACCAGGATTTGGCCTCTGGCAATTATATGAAAGACTAAGATGTGGCCATTGACATTTGTATGAAAGACCATGATTTGGCCCCTATAAACCGAATGGAAGACCGTGATTTGGCCCTCATCAGGAAATTGCTTGTAAGACTATAGTTGGCCCATAAAATTAACTTATTTATGTATGGTATATGGTACTTTAGGGAAATTCGCTAAGCTTTTGCTTACAGTTTGTATTTTTTGTTTCATGTACTTCCGGTACTAGGGGAAGGGCCTGACATAATGGCACATATGACATCCCCATTTTCACGGTCAGAAAAGACCGATTTCATTTATGCTTTTATAATAACATCAGAGTAATCTTTCAAAAAAAAAGTATTGTGGAATTTATTCCCAAAACAAAACATGATAAACATTTATCAAAGTATTTCTCAAAGAAATGTATTTTCATTACATTACAAAACCTAAGATGTCATCGTCAATATAGATCAAAAGTATAAACAAAGCATCATAGGCCACAAAACAAAATTGGCCTCAAAACAATATAGGCCTTACAACATTCTATTTATTTTCTACTGGCCTATAAATCCATAATCTCTCGTCAGATCATCCAACTATGCTTTTGCCACTACCTATAATACAAGAAACCGAGTGGGTCAGGCTGGGGAGCCTGGTGAGCATATAGGGTTTTCAACCCACTATAATAAGTTTATTATTTATTTTCATCAAATCATTAACCTGATAACCGATTTCATTATCCTCACTTTACGTCCCTAAAACATCTATTTTAAGGGACCTAGCCTAAGGATTTTTCTTCGGGGTGACAACACTGCTTAGGGGATTCCTCAGCAATACATGTCAAATAAGGTAACCATGGGGGATAGAGTACATATGGTGAACACTTAGTTCAAAATACCTACAGGTTGCGAGTCTACTAGCGTTGCACTGGACTTCCTATAATGGTCTGTGGTCGTC